TGACTTTAACCGACGCACATCGAGGGACCCAAGCGGGCAGGTGGGCATGAGAGCGCTGTGCTGCCCGCGAAGGCCCACCGCCACCGCTCCCGCCCAAACCGCCTGCGTGTGGCCGCCCCACGGCCCCCTCGGGAGCCAACTGCGATGGAAGGAAAGCGGAGAGTGAAAGCGAGCCCGTTTCTAGACGGCACTTCTCTCCCGGGAACGAGAACTCAGAAGTCGCACTACGGAGAAGATTTCAGTTTAGCAGCGCTTAGCGAGCTTAATGCCACTGGCTGGCGAGCAGCGGTTAATAATTGAGTCAATGAAGACGGTCTATTCGGGACGGACGGAAAGTGCTAGAAAGCACGCCACGGACAGCTGCTCTGTGACGAGGAAGTGTTAAGGAGACCAGCACGCCGCGGGAGCCAGAGGAGATGCCGTCCCTAGCACCGGAAAGACAGTGACTGCACTGAACGATCTGCAGGGCTTTCGACCTTCCCAAACACAAAGCTTGAGGTGCACGTGACTAGCGGGGGAAGCTGGCAATTCTGAGCCTGCTTCTGCACCGACCTGTCCGCGATCTCCTTCCCCAGCGGCCAGCGCACACGCCAGGCCAGGCACTGGCCCCCGCCCCGCCCGCCACCGGAGCATGGCAGCACGACAGCCAGCCGGGGGTGGAAGGGAGGACCAAGGGACCTGGACGATGACCAAAGAAGGGACGACACAGCATTCACCTCGGATAGAACAGGATGGAAGGGAGGGAAGGGGAGGGAGAGACTCTCCTGGAAGCCACGAAGGGAACGACGGCCATTCGAGAAAGGCGGGGAAGTCAGCTGCCCCCACACACAGGAGCCACAGCCAAGCGATGCGGAGCACCGGGAGGGCCCAAGAGCGAGAAAACGAACAGCCGCATCGCAACGGGGGAGAACCCGAGAAGGGGGGATGGCCGGAGACGGACGGCCCCGGCAAGCTTCGCGAGAAAGACACCCCGCCCCCCCAGAGGGGAGAAGAAACGAAGAGAAACTCCCTCCAGGAAGAAACACCGAAGGCTCTACAGGCCGATCACCAAGGAGACGCACATCCAAACAGCGAGGAGGTCCCACCTCACGCACACAGACCGGGCACACCCAGAGGAACGGGGCGCCAGCAGGGGAAAGGGGCTCGCCCTCGCTGCTGGGGGCCAGGCGACTGCTCCAAGACGGGTCGTTCCTCAGAGAGCTGAAAGCGGAGCCTCCCTACGGCCCGGCCCGGGAATACCCCCTCTGGGATGCCCCCGGGGGCCCAAACACAGCGGAAATGCCAGCCGCGCTCCGGTGTTCGTCGCAGCAGAATCCGGAAACAGCCCGAGAGCAGACGACTGGCTACAGAAACTATGGGGCGTCGACACGATGGGATGCTTCAGCCACCAGGAGAAATGAAGTCGTGAAACCGGCCGATAAACGGCTGGACAAGAGAGAATCCCGCGGACTGAAACGAGTCAGAAGGAGAGGGGCAGCCCCAGGATGACCGCACCCGTCTGTGGGATACACAAGACGTGAGACTAACACCCCCACGGACAGCAGGAACAGGGGTCGGGGCTGGTCCGCGGCCGAAAGCTCGCCACAGGCGGTGGTGGGGAGAGGGGCCACCATGGCAATGGGAGGTGGAAATGAGCTGGACAAGAGCTGAGGCCCTGCAGGGAGGTCAAGGGGCCAGTGTGATGACCTCCCAGCACCCGCACTGCAAACCGTAATGCCGGGGTGAGAGAGGGGAAAGGTGTCCGCCACGGGGGGAGGGCGCAGGGGGGAACCGGAAACTTGGGCAGTGAGAGACGGACCCTGATGAAGGGACAGGTGTTGGACACTGTGACTGGAACCCCATCACGGGCGACTCTGTCACTGCATCTCCCTGTGATTCAACGAAAGATAAATAGCAAATAAAATGGGGAGATGAGATGAACAGCCACTTCCTCAGAGAAGATGGTCCGAGCACCCACTCTGCCCCCCTCAGCAGAGAGATGCAGCCTGCAGCAGGGGCGAGGGAGCACCACAGAATGAGCACCCGACCCGGAGCTGGCGGGGATGTGGGGGAAGGAGCCCTGGGCACTGCTGGGAGCATTCGAAACACCCCAAGAAACCGAGACTCGAGCAGCCCCCCCACCCAGCAGTCCTGCGACAAGCATCCACCCCAGGGCCCAAGACGACCCCCCCAAAGGCTGGGGGCTCCTGCGCTGGCCACAGCACCGCAGCCGCAGGGACTCGGGGCACCGGACACTGGAAACAGGAAACAGGACATTGGACACTGGACACGGGACACTGGACGGGCCGGGCACCAGGACACGCAGCGTGGGCCCGCGGGTCCTGCACATGGAACCAGGTCGCGCGGTGGCCTGGGCCTGCTGGACAGAGGGAGGCCAGAGGACCAGCCGACACGGAGCCGCTCTGCCAGGCGCGGAATCAAGAAACGCAGCAAGGGTCAGAGGTCAGAGAACCCGCCACGGCACAGAACTGGGGTGACCCAGGCTGGGTCCAGGGGGGCCCGGAGGGCGGGGCCACTGGGTGGGGGCGTGGTCACGGTGACCAGATGGGGCGGGGCCACTGGTGGGGGCGTGGCCGGTGGGCCTGGCCGGTGGGCGGGGCACCAGTGGCATGGTGACAGGGCAGAGGGTGCGGACACTCAGTGGCGGTGCCCGCTGGGGCTGTTTCACGCGAGGGACCCGTCGTGGACAGTTCTGTAAGCCAGCGCCATAGATCATATGTACCACCCCACTGCATGTCATATATGGAATTTCAGGTGTAACACAGGTGTACACACAACTGTGATACCTTTAATGACTCAGAAAACGTCATGAACGAGGCGGGGGAGGGGGGCGGTGTGGCAGGACCTGGGTCACGGAGATTCTGGGGAAGAAATGATTGCAAAGGAAAGTGCGACCATGCAGCACAGCCCACAGGTCCAGAGGCCCCCGGGACAGCAGGCCCCTTCCTCAATGGGCGTGGGGGGTCCCCTCACCCTGACAGCTGCCCGCAGGGAGGAGGCTCTGCAGACCTGACGCTCACCCTGCACCACCGAGAAGATGCACAAGAGACCCAGAGAATCTCTGCCCGGACCGTCTCTGCCGGGACCATCTCTGCCTGGACAGTCCCCACCTGGATGGTTTCTGTCAGGAGCATCTCCGCCCGCACTGAGACGAGCCATTCTGGGTCTGGGGTCACCGACATGTGCTACCTTCTGAGCAACGCTGGCCGCACAGCTGCTCCATCGAAGGGGACAAGAACTCGGCCCAGGGACACGTGCCAGCTCTCACGCCGGCCAACGACGGGACCTTTCCTACTGTTTCGTGTCTCAGCACACGGAACATCACGTCACCTCAGCCCCACTTCCTCCTAGGCCTCCTTCCAGGGAACCTTCGTGTATTCGTGTGGGGCTCACACCCAGGGGTGCTGGGGGTCGTGCCCAGGCCTCCTGCACACGCAGCCTGAGCTGGGTGACCTGTGTTCTCACCAGCCCCCACCCCCTTCAAACGCAGCCCAACGGGGCCAGAGACGGGACGGGAAGGAAGCCTTGCACGCGGCCCACCCCACATCAACCCCGGGGGACGCACACGGTCCCCTAAGCACTGCTAGAACTCACCCTCGACACAGAGCCAGGAACAGCCCGAGCACCATAAGATGTGCCCCCCCCCAACCGAACCAAATAAATAATAAAAATAAACAGCTCCATGACCCTCCCAGGAGCTGACCGCCTCGGTGCGCGCTAAGCCCTGTGGATCACCTTCCCCGAAGCTATTCCTGCTGCTTCTGTCATCTGCGGCCTTCTCCAGGGGTGACGGAGAAGAGGGTGTCTGTGAGCCCTGTGGGAGGCAGGCGCTTGGGCGAGTGTGTGGACCACAGGACCAAGCGCACCCAGGCCCAGGGTGAGGCCCCGACCCCGAAGTTGCCAGGGGCCAGAATGGTGCCAAGAGAAGCCCGGGACGGTCCCGAGCTGCCCCAGGGTCCAAAGGAAGCGTTTGCTGCCATTTAAAGTGACCAGTCCGCGACAGGCCGGGGGTGAGAGTCAGGAAGCGGAAGGGCCCGCGCTGGGCAGGACGGAGCCCAAGAGCTGGGCCCTGGGTTCACGCCCCAGTCGGGGGCCAGGGATGTGGCTCAGTGGTAGTGGAGGGTCCGAGCCCATCCCCAGCACCCCAGAAACGTTGGGCAGTCTGGGTTCGAATGTGCCATTGGCCAATTAGGTCACTCTGGACCAAGCATCACAGGCTCCTTTCCGGATCTGGGGTGCCGGGGTCAGCATCCTTGGCACTGCCGGACAGGGGGCAGGGGGCAGCCGCCCACACCGGGCCGGCACTCGCCAGCATCCCTGACTCTCTGGAGTCTGTGGCCCTGTTCAGGAGGCAGCCGCCAGCCCTGCCGAAGTCGTGCCAGGCGGCCGGGCAGGCCAGTGGAGTTTCCGGAGTGATGCCGAAACAGGTGGCCAGTCGGGGAGGGCACACAACACAAACCTGTGCACACCCTGGGTGCGAGCACAGGGCGCCCCCGGCGGCTGCAGCGCTGGTCACGGCTAGTGGTGGGCAGAGAGAGGCCAGCGGGCCAGGCTCGAGAGCGGTCAAGTGTGGCCACGTGCCCAGGGTGGTCCTGTCCATGGATGGGCACAAGGCGGGGAGGTGGCCATCAGCGGCCACGTCCCCAGGCGGCCGGCCCCGGCCATCAGCAGGCACGTGGTGGCCAAGTGACCGTCAACGTCCACGTGCCCAGGCGGCCCCGGCCACGGGCGGGCACGGGGCGACAAGGTGACCATCGGCGTCCACGTGCCCAGGGCGGCCCCGGCCAGGGACGGGCACGTGGCTCGGGCGCGGTGACCACCGCCGGGCCACGTGCCCGGGGCGGGCCTCGGCGGGGCGGGCACGTGGCGCGCGGTGACAGCTGCCGCCCGGCTCGCGGCGTGGCCCGCCCCTCCCGGCGCGGGCCGGGCCGGGTCGGGGGGCGCGGGCGGGGGCGCGGGCGGGGGGCGGCGGGGGGCGGCGGGGCGCGGGCCGGGCTTACCGCGGAATCGGAGCTCGTGCTGCGGCTCGAGGCTCAGGACCTGCTCCACCTTCGCCATGTTCCCCGGGGCGGCCGCCGCCGGCTGCGCCCCCTTTAACGCGCACGGGGGGGCCGCGGGGGTCGCGGCGCGCGCGGTGCAGGCGCAGGGGCGGAGGGCGAGGGCGAGGCCGCGGGCGCGCGCACGCACCACGCACGCACGCACGCACGCACGCAGGCGCCGCCGCCCCGCGGCCCAGGGCGCAGGCGCGGAGGGCGGGGGCGGGGCCGGAACGGGGCCGGGGCGGGGCCTGCCGCGGAGGGTCGGCGGCGGCGGCGGGCGGGCGGGGGCGGGGCCGGGGGCGGGGCCTGCCGCGGAGGGACGGCGGCGGCGGCGGCGGGCGGGGGCGGGGCAGGGGGCGGGGCCAGCCGCGGAGGGTCGGCGGCGGCGGCGGCGGGCGGGGGCGGGGCCGGCCGGGGCGGGGCGGGGCGCAGCGCGGGGGTCCCTCGCGCTCCGGGGCGGGCGCCCCCGTCCCCCTGCGGGTCCCAGGCCCCGCCCGCGAGAGGCTCGAGGCGGGCGCGTCCTGATCCTTCCGCCCGCAGCCGCCCCCTCTCTCGGAGGGGGCCGGGGAGAGGGCCGGGGGGGGGGGGGGCGATCATCGCCGCACACCGAGTGCCCCCCGCCCGCGGTCGCGGCCGGGACTCTGCATCAGATGTGCACGGGGGAGGGGGACCCGCACCCGGGACGCCGCTTGCACGCTGGGAAACGGGCCACGGGGCCAGCTGGCCGGTGCCTGGGCCCTCGCCCCAGCCTCGCAGTAACCAGCCCCACATGCAGTTAAGGGAGGGAAAAAATGCGGACACACACACGCACACGCACACACACACGCACACGCACACACACACCACACACACACGCGCGCGCACACACCACGCTGGCAGCTCGGATCTGCCTGGGCCCGAACTCGGACTCCCCACTCTTGGGGCCGGAGTTTGACCGAGAGTTTAGCGCAGGGGCCGCGCGTGCTTGGTCACCTCCTGCACATCCGTGCACGGGTGAAGGGAAGAGCAGAGCGTGGCCGAGGTCCGCAGAGGGTCGCGGACAAAACCGCAGGTTCTTCCTCCTGCACAGACGCGCGTGGATGGAGCAGACAGTGGGGAGGGGCCGGCGCGGGGCCCCTGCTTGGTCCCTGCCGCTCTGCTGCTTACCGGAATGTTTCCTAGCAGAAGTTTTCTCTTAGGACGATCTTTGTCTTTCAAGTGGAGCGTTTGGTCCGTTTACACTTATTGTATTTACCGCCGGATCTGGATTTATTTCTGTTACTTGATTCGTGCTCTCTGCGGCTCGTGCCTGCCTTTTCTTTCCCCTCTTTCCTGCTTCTGCAAAGTTCCCTCTCTTCTCGGTCCATTTTCCTTCCTCTGCCCCACTCTGCTCCTAACACCCCAGTGATTCCCCTAGACACTGAAGCCCGAGTCCTTACTTATGAAAGTCCCATTTTTTTAAAGCCCTTTACCCTGCTCCCGGAACACATAAGGACTTTGGGATTCTTTAAATCATTCAGTCCCCCAAGTTATATTCCTTGACTATAATGTATCTGAACTTTAGTATTTTCCCTTTGAACCCACAAGTCATTATTACATTTTTTTTAACAGCTCATGTTAGTTTGGACACAACCACACAATTATTGATTTCTTTGCTTGTTTTCTTCTCACAACTCACAACTCGGTTTACTCTCCTGAGGCCTGAAGGACCTCCTTTAAATTTTATTTCGGGGTAAGGAGGAGAGAGAGCAGAGGTTCACTGATAACCAGGTTCGATCCCCACCACCACATCTGGTCCCTGCCTGGGTCTCGACCCACGCCAATAAACAAATTCTGTTCCAGTGAGGGTTTGCTAGAAAAGAAGACCGTCTCAAGTGATGCTCACCTGAAGGCTGGAGCGATAGGACAGCAGGTGAGGCATTTGCCTGGTACCCGGCGGATCCAGGCTCCATCCCCGGCACCCCAAATGGTCTCCGGAGCTTGCCAGGAGTGATTCCCAAGCAGCACAGAGCCAGGAGCAAGCCCTAAGCCCTGAGCACAGCCAGGTGTGTCACACACACACACACACACACACACACACACACACACACACAAAGTTCATCTGAAAAATGATTTTACTCTTGTTCCTGCAACTTATTTTAGCTGTTATTAGGCAGTTGTTCTGTGTAAACGCGAAGGTTCCAGACTCCGGACCCCCACCCAGTGCCGGGTTCCTGTCAGGTGAGGGGGAGGGTCTCCTGTTATTTCTTCAACCGTAATCAGGTTGCCCCCACATCCCTCGTTGAGGGCTTTTTTTTTTCTTTTTGGGCCACACCCGGGGATGCTCAGGGGTTACTCCTGGCTTTGCACTCAGGAATCACTCCTGGCGGTGCTCGGGGGACCCTATGGGGTGCTGGGAATTGAACCCGGGTCGGCCGCATGCAAGGCAAACGCCCTCCCCGCTGTGCTATTGCTCCAGCCCCCCATTGAGGGCTTCTGCACTTCACCACAGGGAATGTTTTCAAACGTTGCCATTGGTCTGGTCCAAACGGGGCTATACCACAACGATCACCTCGGTCTGACTGGCTTTTTAAGGGCTGGCACTCCTCAGGTTCTGGAGACCAGGTCGGCCCAGACCAAGACCCCAGCTGAGCACTGTGTGGCAAGGCCCTTCCCGTCTCCCGGCTGGCTGTTCCCTTGCTCCCTGGGGTCTCTAGCTCAAACGCTAATCCCCTCCCTATGCTCCAGCCTGTGGCCAGGCCCAACCCCCCCAACTCCACATCAGGAATCAGGTTCCAGCACATTAATTAGGGGGACACACCGTTCACCTTACGGTAGGACTCTCACTTGATTTCTCTCATCTTGCTGAACCTGTTCATTGGTATCTCCCGATGTTCTAGAAAATTCGAAGATAATAAGATTTCTTATATTTTACTGTGGTGGTAAGGTAAAGGTAAAGGTAAAGGTAAAGGCCCTCCCGTTGATCGTCGATTTGCTCGAGCGGGCCCAGTAACGTCTCCATTGGAGACTTTGTTGTTACTGTGTCTGGCATATCGAATACTCTCGGTAGCTTGCCGGGCTCTCCGAGAGGGGCGGAGGAATCGAACTCGGGTCGGCCTTGTTGGCCGCGTGTAAGGCGAACGCCCTACCCGCGTCATTTTGGTGTGTGTGTTGGTGGTGGAGGGGGTTGCTCCTCCCAGCCCCGTGCTCTGAGTCCATCCCTGTGTTGTTTTGGGAACATGCAAGGCGGGGATGGAACTGGCCGCTCTCATGCCAAGCACGTGCCCAGCCACTGAGCCGTCTCTCCAGCCCTTTGAGTGACGAGATGGTGACTGAGTCACACCCAGTGATGCTCAGGGCTTCCTCCTGGCTCTGCACTCAGGAATCACTCCTGGCAGTGCTCGGGGGACCCTATGGGATGCGGGGGATTCAACATGCAAGGCAAACGCCTCCCCGCTGTGCTATCACTCCAACCCCTGGGCTGTGCCTTTTAGCACAGCGAAAGACCTACAGCTGCAAGGAGCCAAGGATTGTTTGAGGAATCCATGAGTCACTCTGGCTTCCTATCTGTGACTGCAGCCAAGTTTAAAGATCCTGGGAGTCCAGCGGGGAGGGCATTTGCCTTGCATGTGAAGACCCAGGTTTGTCCCCGGTACCCCATTTTGTCCCCTGAGCACCACCAGGAGTCATTCCTGAGTGCAGAACCAGGAGTGACCCCTGAATCACACTGAATCCCCAAAATAAAATAAAATAAAGAGCCTGTAATTACTTTCCATAATCACCCCAATGACTTGGAGCAGCTATCTCCTCCACATTTACATACACACATATACATACATGCTGTATGTATGCATATGTGTACCCATACACATACATGCTAATATAGATACACATGCATACACAGATAAGCCAGAGAGATAGCGCAAAGGACTTGGAATATATGTTCCATGCTCGAGGCCTGGGTTTGATCCCTGGCACTGCGTGATCACCATCAGGAGCAGTCCCCCATCACTGAGCCAGAACAACCCCCAAGAATTCCTGGGGAGGCCCTAAAACCCCAAAAGAGAACCTTTCTACACACACACACACACACACACACACAGTGCTCTGAAGTCATTACAGCGAGCTGAGCTCAGGAGAGGCACACTCCAGGGGCCTCTTGGTCACAATGTCACTGTCACAGTCCTCCCGTTGTTCATTGATTTGCTCGAGCGGGTCCAGTAACGTCTCCATTGGAGACTTTGTTGTTGCTGTGTCTGGCATATCGAATACTCTCGGTAGCTTGCCGGGCTCTCCGAGAGGGGCGGAGGAATCGAACTCGGGTCGGCCATGCTGGCTGCGTGCAAGGCAAACGCCCTCCCGCTGTGCTATCGCTCCAGCACAATTACCTGCGGATGATCCAGTAATTCACAGCCACACTGTCACTCTTCTTGTCAACGGTGTGTCTGATAAGCTAGTTCTCTGGAGGAGAAGTAGTGACATTTCTGTGGTGCAAATTTCCCACCAGCACTGACTGCGAGGGGTGTCACCCACCCAAGTTAAGAAGCGTGTGCAGCTACAGAACACGGCCCCCAGCAAGCTCACGGACGCCTCTGGGCGCACCAGCCCAGAGCACCTACCTACGGGACGCAACCCCCAGGAAGCGCACAGCCTCTGGGCGCACCTGCCCAGCTCCCGGGCACTCCAGGTCAGCAGGGGGAAGGGAGGGAGTAAGTCAGCCAGAGAAGGGGAGCAGAGGAGGGGAGGGTTGCGTGCGCTATCGGGCCCTGGGTTCCGGGTCCCTCATTCTGTGCTCAGGCGTGACGGGGACTGAGTCTGTCCCAGACCCCGCCTGGAGGGTCTGACTCCTGGGACTCTGCTGGGCACCCACCAAGAGCTCTGCCGGTCAAGGGCAGCCCCCAGAGCAGAGGCTGCCTTGGTTTTGACAAAGGCCACACTGGCTCAGGAAGTGTTAAGTAGGTGACAAGTATCAAAACCCAAAGAGAAAGATGCCAGATGTGCTGTGACCTAGCAACGCTTTACAGAGCAGTGGCAGGGTGTGTGTGTGTGTGTGGGGGGGGGGGGGGACTGGACCCCAAGGGTCCAGTCAGGCGCCTGTGGTGGAGGGAGGCAGCCTCGGAGAGGGACCAGGGAAAGGAGGCTCCAGGCCCTCTCGGGGAAAGGCTGCTTCCGGGGCTGCGCCCCCAAAGTTGAAGACCTGGATTGTTACTTCAGGGAAAGGTCACTGTGGTGACCGGAAACAGACGGGGGCACAGACCTTGCTCCTCCCGCCTCAGGTCTCCCTGCGTGGCATTTTGGCGAGGAGCAAGTGTCCTGAGCGGCCAGGCCCGCAGTCAGGGGAGGAGGGCTTCCGGAGTGGCTGGAGGGAACAGCTCCCCAACGCCCTCTTTCCTTAACTTCGTTCCTTAGGGGGAGTGTGCACCTGGCTGTGGGGTCCATGCAGTGCCAGG